AAATGCATTTTGTGTTTAGTGCATCGCTGTTTTAGAGACAATATGTAATGCTGTTAATGCTGGATCGAGCAATATACAAAGCTCACTGAGCTAATTGCTTGTCTGCATGTCGTACGCTTACTGGCAAAAAAAATAAAACAGTTTTTTGAAACATATAGGTGTGATTATCATCGACCAAAATTAATTTTATCAAATACTTTAACAAATAATGCACAAAATTTTTACTGTTCAGGTTATATAGTCTCCATTATAACCCTTATTCACCGATTGGAAACGCTCATTTAAAATTATAAAATATATGTATTTTTATTAAAATTGAACTATATTCTCCTTCAATTATTAGCTACTAATTAATGATTTCCTTAGATTTTTATTATTGCAAAGTGATTAAGATTTTTGATTTAATTAAAAATAATTTTTTAATATAAAAAAAACAAAAATCTAAAACAATAATAAGAAAAAATAATTAATTTAAAAATATAAACAATATATATTAAAACCGTGCATACGAATGTTCACAGTATTTCAGATACGAAATACGAGGAACTTGTGTATATTTTTTTAAAAGTAACTTGACTTCCAAATTCTACCGCTGTCAATTTTTGATTAAAATTAATTATTTATTGCTTTTAAAAATTTCTACTACAGGTCATTTTTAACATTGTTTTCGATTCGAATGTTATTTTTATAACAACTTTAAAATATTGTTTTCTAAAGTGGAAACCCTCATTAATTATTATTTTATTATTTCCATATGATATCATTCCGATCATATACTATACTGATACTACATATATCGTTCGCAATTATTATTTAATAATAAACGAGTTTACCTTTGTTAAGATTAGGATAAAATTTTAAAAACTGGATTAAAATAAGGATCTGTTGTTATTTTATTTATGTTTTTATTTATACAAAGTGGTTAGTTAATTAAAGTTGACTAAATTCAATATTAACTTAAATGTTTAATAATTATCTATGCTTCACACTTTTAATTTAAAGCATACACCAATATTCATAATAATACCAGATAATTAAATTAATAAATATTTTTAAAGTCTATTCATAGCGAATATTTTTTAATAAACGAAATAGTGGTATGGTTAACCAAAACCCTCTTTTAATTAAAACTTTTCTATTATACAGATAATATTTCTTATTTTAATATATAATTTCTAATTAAAGTTTGTTAAAATTGTATAATTTTTTATTTCATAATTTAATTTACATATAATTTAATCTTGCTCATGTTAGTGCTAAAATTCAAATGAATCCGGATAAAAGCATCAAGAAATATATACTATGTTGAAGTATACATGATCATGAATGATGATAGTTATTTATTCCTGAAACTTGGAACGGTCACGTATATTTTTTCAAACTTTTTTTGGATTCAAATTAAATAAATAAATAAAAATATTTAATTAGTTTAGTTTAAAATTTTCTTTAGTTTTATCCTAGGAAGCAATTATCAGTGGATCATTATACTTATCAATTACATTTTAAGTCTGAGGATTTAGTAAACTATCGAAACACCACTTTTATATTACTTTATTTAGCGATTAGAGACCGAGTAGTGTATTTTAAGCGAGAAAACGCAAAAATAAATTTAAATTTCATTTATTTTATTATTAATAAAATATATTTTTAGCTTGAGTTCAGGTCAATAATTTGGAAAGTTGATAATGTATAGTCAATGGAAAATATTTCAAGTTATAAATAAATATTAGTGTGAAATTTAAACTAAATTATTATATATGAAAAAATAAAAAATATACAGATAATAGATGCTTATTTACTTTATTACCTGTTGTGAGCATATACGTATTTTTAATAGTTAAAGAATATCTTAATGGTTAATAAAAAGATATGATCAGTCTTATAAATAAATAAATATATCATAATAATTAAAAATTGAAATCAAATGAAGCAAAACAAAAAAGCTTTAACGTATATAACTTGTTATCCTATTGTTCTACATTCTTTATGTGCAATTATTATTTAATAATTTTAATCGTAATTTAGAAACTGCAATAAAGTTAAAAAAAGAATTAAAAAAAATTGATCAAATTCTTTTGTAATTAAAGCTTATTAGATCTCATAAGATATGCGTTAAATTGATAGATATTTTATAGGAAAAGTATATTTGAAGAAGCATCACACAACTGGTTTTGAATGGAAATATTAATAATGATAAAAAAAAATATTTGTTTGTTTAAAATTTTTTATTTATTTTTTTATATATTTTTGCTTTTAATGGAATGTCGCGGTGTATTTAATTACAATTAATTGTAAATGTATTAAATAAATTCATCAAGCATAATAAAAAAAAAATAATTTTTTTATAGGGAAGCTAGGTAGTTTATATTTGATTTTTAAAACTAAATTATGTAATTATTTATATATATCAAATAATAATATTACGTTAATAAGCGATTGAGGTGTTAAATAATGTATTTATTTAATTAAAGTTTTGGTAAAACTTTCGCAGCGAGTTAAAGCAAGTACAAATGGTTGCTAAAGTAATATATTAATTAAAATTTGAATTTATTTATCGACCTGTCTTTTTAATAATGATTTTTATATATTTTTTATTCGGCTATAGGTCAATTTTATTTAATATTTATGTAAACAAAATTAATGTATTCATAATTCATCAAGAAACTTATAATTAAAATATTGTAAATTGTTGTAATTATTTTTGTAGATCCTTATCCTGATAATGACTCTCAAGGAGAGTAGAAATATAGAATATATTAAAAAATATTAAACACATGTTGAATTTTAATTAACTAAAAGTGACCTATAGCCGGATAAAAATATATATAAAAATCATTAGTAATATATTAATAATAATAACTATCAAGTTAGAATAAATAATTTTCTTCACTATATCATAGTTCATTTTTTTCATGTAACAAAAAAAGAAAATATAGGAAGATGTTGGTCAGAGATTGTTTGTAGCAGCATTAATTACGGCTATGAAGAGCGACTCAATGGTATAGGTTTTAAGTAATTTACAGCAAGTTTTATGTATTAAATACCACAAATCCTTTTAATATAAATACTCAATTTGATTCACGAGATTCGTGACTTTACAATTTTTAATGATTTAATATTTTTGAACAAGAGAGAACATTTATAGGCTGATCTGCACTTGATACTAACTAAGTTAACTAGGGCTATTGCGAGAAAAAATATGTAAAAAGATTTTTAACAGTAAAACAAATGTTTTTTTTTCAAAAGTTATAATAAATAAATTGAAACAAAATTATAAATTATATATATAATTATATAAATAGTATATTATATTATGTATTATATTATATTATATTATATATTATATATTATATATTATATATTATATATTATATATTATATATTATATATTATATATTATATATTTTAAATAAAATATTGTAATATTTTAAAATATTACAACATATATAATTTATTAAAGTGAGTTTTAATATTAAACAGCAAAAAAAACCTTTTGGTTATTGATATATTTGGATATTGAGTAAAATATTGAGATTTGCTGAAGATGGCTCCTTGAGATGTTAAAGATGTTATATACATTTTCGTAGCATTTACAGTATACTAGGCATTGAGATTTAAACCAATTTAAATTTAAACCAACTGAAAATCGAATGTGTTAACACTTTCAACTACCTTGATAGCGTAATCACTATTAAGGATGATGAGGAAATCTCGGCGTGCATAAACAAAGCTAAGGCTTCATTTGACACGCTACGCTCTATCTGAAAATCTTGACACATCTCTGTAAAAACTAAAGTTCGCATCTATAATTTCAACATTAAATTAGTGCACTTTTTTGGATGTGAGAAGTGGAAACGCACTACCGTTAACGACACACGCCTAGAAAACTTTTTCCAACAAATGCTTACATCAGATTCTCAACATCTAATAGCCTAATCGTATCAACAATGCTGATCTTAGGGTGTCACAAATCAAATGTCAATCTCTTAAGAAGTATGCATGCGCAAGTGACGTTAGATATGTCATACTCTTCGCAGACTCCCTGACAATATTGCTCGTCCAGCACTCAGATGGAATCCTCAGGGAAGTGGTCGTCGTGTTGAGGCGCCTGCTAGAACATGACGAAGGATTGTCGATGCAGAATTACAAGCAGCAAATTACTCTTGAAATGATGTTAGTCGAGAAACACGTAATAGAGTTCGATACTAAAAGATGGTGGAAGCTCTATGCTCTATTAGGAGAAGAGGATAATAGATGTAGAAGGCATTGAGAAAGTCAACAGGGAATAATAAGAGATATATTGAAAATTTCAAACACTTACTTCAAAACCTGGAATGAAGCAACTATCCGTAGCTATCAGCCAACATCATCGATGTAACAATTTTCGATGAAGTTTATTATTTATAATTAATAATTAAAAGTTAACAATGCATTTAGCATACTAATATTTTTCACACGAATAAAATACTATTGTTAAAAAGCAACATTCTTCTATATTCGTCGAGTTTCTCTTAGTATATTGTATATAGATGTATACTTAGGTATATTGTATAAAATGTTTTTTACAGCACAAAAAAAAATTCTAGATACAATACCATATATGAATGCAATTTATTTTCTAACATTAAATTCCATGTAAAACAATGAATGAAGCTATCCATCTAACTTAAGTTAGCACCACAGGTGGTGTTTTGGTGTAATGTGTAGGTTTGAGCAAAACAACTTACAATAAATGTGCTCTATTAGAATTTAAATATGACAAATCTCTGATGGACTGCTCCAAATTTTAACACTTTAATGGTTTGTATACATTTTAGGCATGAAGCTATGACATTTTTATTGTTTTAGAGGCAAGCAAGTGTCAAAAAGATTTGGGTCAATAAAATCAAATGGCAGATTTTCGAGATTGTTTGGGCGATAATAAGAAAATTTTTGTATAAATATAGATATAAGAAATATAATAAAATTATTATAAAACAAAATTATAATAAAAAACTTACTAAGCATATAAAATCATCATCACAAAGCATTTTGGCGTTGGTGTTTAATTTGCCAAATTTTTGAAAATTGTATCTTTGTATCTTTGTTACGAGTATTTGTTAGTTTCAGTGGTTTCGGCTGACGTAATTTACATTAGATGTTTAAAGATACTTGAAAATTTGCCTTAGCGTTACAAATTTTTCTTAACAAAAAATATGCACGAAGGTATAAGATTTTCTGTTTTGATGAAAATGTGAATTATTTTTTTATATAACAATTGAACTTTTCAATTGGAAAATTCACTGAACTTTTTATTGTTTGTTGTTGTTTACTTGTTTTGTTATTTTATGTTAAATTGCTATTTTCGATTTTTTTTATGTGAATTGTTTTTATTTGGTTAATTGCTGTGTTTTTAAAAGTAGGCAAGTTACTTGAATTAAATGCTTTATGCGCTTATTATGCTTTGAGAAAAACATTAATAGATACATGAACTCGAAAAAGTATCTAATGCACATGGTATTTGGAAAAAAAACATAGTCGAAATATTTTAGTTATAGTTTAAATTTTATAATTGTTTTAATTTCAAACAAAATTATTTGGTACAAAGGCAGCAAGATTTTAATACAAATATCGCTAACGAATATCAGGTTTGCTATTTTAAGTTTTTTTATTTTTATTTTCTTTTTGATATTTTTTAGTTAGAAAAAATTTTTCATATATTATTATATGATCTCTAAATTTAAACCACTTAATTTGTAATTTTTATATATAATTTTAGATTAAACATATCTCTTTTATAGTACTAGATCTTGTGTCTATATTTTTCTGTTTTTTAACTTTTTATGTATATGATATAATTATTGCAAAATTTATTTTCAATATCAATAACTTTTTGTTAGAAAATTTTTTGGAGAATATTACACTTTTGGTCTATTCCTTTTTATCAACTTTTATTGGCTTAAATAAATTACTCACTTAAAAATTGGTTTTAAATTAATAATCGTTTTATATAAAATTTTTTTTATTTAATTTATATTAAATTAATTTATATTTATATTAAATATTTATACATATTTAGTTTTTTATTTAATTTTTTTTTTTTTTAATTTAAATTTTCATATTTTTAAAAATGTTACGAGTCGAAGTAAATAAATTTTAAATAATTAATATTTTCAAGCCTTGTACTATTACTTCCACTTTAATTCTGTAAGTACTGCTTTATATTTAATAACATAATTATTAATATTATATATTCTTAATTGGTTCAGTAAAATAGTTCAACTGTATTGTTAATAAATACTTTCAATCCAATTTTACCAAGCAGTTCTTTATCTTTGCATATGTAAATATTTATTTAATATTTTACAATTTATATTTTTGCAGTAACTTCAAGTGGTATTTCTGTTGTTTTTTTATACGCAAATAGAACTCAAACTGATTCACTACACTCGCCATAATACGTCTTAAACATTCACAAATTCAAAAATAGAAAAATAAATCAGTATCTTTTTGCACATGCGCTACTCAGTACGTTCAGGCACGAACTAACTTAGCTACAAAAGAAGCTTAGATAAAATTTGCAAAGTAAAGATTTTCTTAACTAAACAAGAAATTCATTCATGTACCAGCCTTACTCACTCAACGTAATTCGCCGTGACTTTTTATATTTTGTATACAAAAAATTGCTTTTTGTTTTTTGTTTTATTTTCAAAGTTTGAGTTTGTTTTGAGTTAAATAAAAATACTGTCATTTAACAAACATATCGTGCGCCCGTATCTTAAAGATACTTTTCGTTTGTTGTTGTAGCGGAAACGAATTTGCGCGCAGAGTTTAGCGTTTGTTTGTTGTGCTGATTTCGCACGTACTTTTTTTATTTTTCTGTAGTATTTTAAGCTTGAGATACAAATACTTTGATAGGCAAAAACGTTAGAACCGTCATAATGTAAGTCATTGTTTGTGTGTCACTTTGGTTTTGTATGTTATATTTATGCTTGCATTAGAGGTTCTTTTTTTTCGATTTTCGAAATAAACTGAAGTCATATTTTATTTCTCGTTGACTGCCACATGTGAGCTTATTGCATTGTTTAAAAATTTGGCACATGTTCTTAGTTATCTGCATGTTCCCTAACTTTTCTTGCTATATACTCATATTGTTTGCTAAATACATATATTTATTTTAAATATTATATGCTTATGAATACTAAGAATAAATGCTTCATTTAAAAGAAAGTTTGGTAGTGCCGACAAAAGTAATGGTCTGTGAGATTAAGAACACAAATAAGCAATTAGACTTTTTTTAAAAAAAAAATGTTTATATTCTAATATAGTATATTTAGAAACTTTATATGAAGCTTTGGTCTCCAAAAAAATTTTGTGAATACTGAAAAAAGTTATATTATTATTACAAATTCAATTTTAAACTTGATTTATTACACATAGTATTACTTTCCTACAGTTATCATTCAATAGAACAAATAACTGATTAAGTGAATGTTTTATGAAATAATTCATAGAAACGTTCATAGACAAAAGTCTATCGTTGACTATTCCATATTGTATATTTATTATATAGAATAACCCAAAATGTATCGAATGCTGTAGGAAAAAACTTGTTCAGAGAAGTCTGTTGCTTAAATAACAATCAAAAAACTCCATAAAATTCCTGTAGAACTTTAAATTTTTCTATATATTGAACTAAAGAATACAATAACTAAAATGATATTGCAAGTACTTTTAAAAAAGAAGCATATAAAAATCATTAAAAACAATCAACAAAAAAATGATTTTAGATTTTTTTTCAAGAAATCATAATTGAACTATCAAAAACTGTATTTCTATGTAATATGTATAACTCGATTTAAGGTAATTTCCGATTTATTAAATGAGCAGTTGACGAGACCAATCAATTTTTAAAGACAATCAACAAACAAGTGATAATAAGTTTTTTTCAAGAAATCATAACTAAACTATAAGAAACTGTATTTCTATGTATAATGTATAAATCGATTTAAGGTAATTTCCGATTTATTAAATGAGCAGTTGACGAGACCAATCAATTTTGAAGTAAAATTTAATAGAGAGGTTTCGAAAAGCAGTGACAATAAAATAACACCAAAAAATTCTTTTTATATTATTTTAATTAATTGAATTTTCGGTTGACTATACAGCTGTTTCGAGTATTGCCAAACAGTCATCATCAGTATTCTTGGTAATAGTTCTTGTATTTAATTATTCGTAACTTTTTAATTTAAATTTAAGACTATTTAATTTTTTGAGACTTCAAGGGTTAAACTCGTACCCTGTCAAATTTGAAGCTCAGAGTCAGTGTTCATTAGTCACTGACCCAAAGTCATACTTGACTGTATGTTTGTACTTTGGAGTTTTGTTAATTTGCAGTGAAAATTCATTAACAAATTCACTTATTGTATTATATTAGAATGAAATCATAAACCAGCTGTAGAATAATTGAATTAATTATATTTTGTTTTTCTTTAATTCTTAAATTTCAATACTATTCTTTTGTAGAGGCATTATTTGTCGCATGCTTTTATATTATTTTTCTTAATGAATAATTAAGATTTATTTAATGACAAATCCCAATTAAATATATTGAGTTTGATATTTTGAAGTAAATATTTTTAAAAATTGATTTACATAAAATTTTGTGGATATATGTAATGTGTTAAGTGCATGTTAAGTAATTTTTTAAAAATATTTTTAAAAATAAAATCATTTCAAAATTTTAAGCTAATAATTAATTATTTTATTAATTAATTCAAATAAATATAAAAAAAAATATTTCCGTATTAATTCATTGATATAACATTTAATTAAAATTTAGTGGGAATGCGTATCACCTGCGTGCAGGTTAATTTTTAAAAATACTTTTAAAAATAATACCATCGGGAAAGCTTTTGTTTTTTAACAAAATACCATGATGAATCTTAATCAAAAGTAAAAAATTAAAATTATAAGTATAATTATTTTGAAAAAATGCATTAATTGCAAAAATTTCAATACATAATCATAACAACATAAAAAAAATTTAATCTCTGATCTCTATCATTTACAGCACCTAATATATAGGCATTTTAAAAGTAATCTAATTTCCGAAACCCAGTTGTATATTCAAGAAAAAAATTTTTAAAAAAATTTTTAAAAAATATAAAAATTGAAAATAATCTAATTTCCGAAACTCAGTTGTATATTCAAGAAAAAATTTTTAAAAATATTTTTAAAAAAATTTTTTCTGAGATACGGATATTTTTGTTTTAAAAAGAGGCTAATTAAAAAAATTTTAGCCAAATCAGAGGTGACGAGGTCAAAACTTGATTCATGCATAAAAAACGATCCATATATAAAAAAAATAACAATTTAAAGAAATTTCAAAAATCAAAATTTATTTTATATAAATACAAATGAAATAAAAATATTTAAAATTATTAATTTAAATGTGAAGAAATTTTGCTTATTAACTAGAGAAGTGTACTTTGATCTTCCCTTGTCTAACTACTTTGATATTTAATATAAGTTCAGTATCAGGTAAAAAAACGACCCTCTTTCATTAATTTTTAACCTTATATTTTTTCTATAATACCCTTTAACAAATGTAACTTATTTTTTTATTATAATCCTTATTGAGAAAACTAACTAAACTACCGTCTATTGTAAACAATTCCAAAATTGTTCTTATTTATAGCTAAACTTTTCTTTTAAATACTTGTTTCTTTTAAATATTTTTGGTCATAAAACTTGCCTCTTCCCTCTTGCCTCTTGCATTCTGTGTTTTGCATTTCGCATTTTGCCAGCTATCCGATCAACACTTCTTCTATGCAACAGTGCAATAATTTTAAGTCGTGCTCTTAGCCCCTTTTATGGTCATTAAAAATATATTTATGCGGACACAACCAACCATACCCACATTTTACGACAACCGTTTGCCACAAAATGTTGGCCAATTCATATGCCTTCTACTTTAAAACAATACAAAATATGGAATTGTTTATAAGCAGCAATCTTAGCGAATGCATTCGGTGTTGTGGGTTTGTAGGTATTTTCATATCTTTGAGCCAAGATTTTTTGTTTAGCACTAAA